TTTTAATTTTGGGTCCCGTTTTTTAAATTTGTCTACATTAAGGTCCAAAGGGTCCAAAATTAAACTTAGTTTGATTTTAACAAAAATTGAATTCTTCGGGTACTTTGATATGCTGAATCTAAACATGTGTTTAGATTTTTGATTATGGGACCAGTTTTCAAGTTTGTCCAAGTTGGGGTCCAAAATTAAACTTTGTTTGATTTCAACAAAAATTGAATATATGGGGTTCTTTGATATGCTGAATCTAACCATGTATTTTGATTTTGGACATTGGACCATAATAGGTAAATTAAAAAAATTGAAGTTCTTAGACCACATTCTTTCTGTGTCAGAAACCTATGCTGTGTCAAATATTTAATCACAATCCAAATTCAGAGCTGTATCAAGCTTGAATGTTGTGTCCATACTTGCCCCAACTGTTCAGGGTTCGACCTCTGCGGTCGTATCAAGCTGCGCCCAGCGAAGCATTTTATTGATGATAACTAGGTAGCCATTTGGAAAATTGAAGTCTCCAGTTTTGAGATTTGAAAAATATAAAAGATAAACAAAAATAGTGTTTTCCTATACCATATGATGATATTTGTAGTTTTGCTGAATAATAATAGACTGTACAACTTTGTTAACAAAATTTATTGTAAAAGGATTGATATTGATAATTTTAATTTGTTATGAAACAGGCTTTTTAAATAACTTGCTTCATGGTTCCTTTAAACTTATCATTTGCATGATTATAACTTATAATAAATAATACAATGTAATGTACATCATGTACAATAACTTTTTTTTTACTGAAAAATAATTATTTATGGATTCTCTGTTTTGTTTTCACATGCTAGTCAATAACTTGACTTTTTGTCATTTCTACTCAAGATTCTTACCAAGAAGCAATTAAAAGAATAAAATGCAAAAAAAAAATAAAAAATAAAAAATAAAAAAAAATAGAAACATTAGAAAGAAAAGAAAATATATTAATATTTAAAAAATCAACAAATAATATGAATTAACAAAGACTAAAACAACATTCTAATCTATTTTTTCAAGAAAAGGTGAAATGTCAATTTTAGAATCTGAGTTACCTGTACAGGTATATTTTAATGAAACATATAAGCTGAAAACTTCAACCCTGACTGATTTCAACAGGTAACATAATTAGATAAAACATCAACCTATGTTTTTATGACCCCAATAAATGGCCAACATCCCAAGATTGAATACCCCAATAAATGGCCACCATTTGATGGTGACCATACAAGAGGGTGGACATAATTAAGAGGAAGTCACAGGTTGTACTGTACAAGGTTCCATATCACAAAGGGAAAGCTGGTAATTGCCAAAAACGTTTAGGAATAAGGGGCCAAAAATAAGCATTTTTCTAGTTTCCAGACAATAACTTGTATTCAAGTGTATGGATTTCTCTGAAATTGTACTGCAAGGTATCATACCACAAAGGGAAGGCTGGGATTGATTTTGGGGGTAATTGCCTCAAAATTTTAGGAATTAGGGGCTAAAAAGGGGCAAAAAACAAGCATTTTTCTAGTTTCAGGACAATAACTTGTGTGTAAGTGTATGGATCTTTATGAAATTGTACTACAAGGTTCCATATCACAAAGGGAAAGCTGGGTTTGAGTTTGGGGGTAATTGCCCTAAACGTTTAGGAATTTGGGGCCAAAAAGGGACAAAAAAACGCATTTTTATACGGCTGCAAAAAAATTTTGTGGTCGTATATTGGTATGGCGTCGGCGTCGTCGTCCGGGGTCATCGTCCGAAGACACATTGGTTTTCGCACTCTAACTTTAGTTTAAGTGAATGGATCTTTTTGAAATTTTACCATAAGGTTAAATACCACAAAAGGAAGGTTGGGATTGATTTTGGGGGTTATGGTACCAACAGTTAAGGAATTAGGGGCCAAAAAGGGGCCAAAAATAAGCATTTTCTAGTTTCCAGACAATAACTGTGGAACGGTGTATGGATCTCTCTGAAATTATACTACAAGTTTCCATACCACAAAGGGATGGTTAGGATTTGCTTTGGGGGGTTATGGCTCAAACCGTTTAGGAATTAGGGGAAAAACAAGGTTGTCCTGGTTAATGGACAAATACTTTAGTACAAAACATAATTTAAAGCAGTGTAAGGGAGATAAATCAAATACATCATTGAAATTATCTCCCTTACACTGCTTTTAAATTATGTATAAAGTAATGGTTAATGAACAATAAAGATAATTTAAAACAGTGTAAGGGAGGTAATCCAAATACAACGTTTTGGTTACTTCCCTTACACTGCTTTTAAATTATGTTTAAAGAAATACATATTTATAAAGGAAGACCAGTAAAAATATCTGCAAATGTTGCATCTTTTTTTTTTACAAAAAAATCCATATGAAAGATTTGACACTATATTTTTAATTCTATTATAAAATAGATTAAGTTAGCACTATGGTAAATTTAAATGGGTAATTTTGGTTGCCAACTCCATTGGAAATTTGAATTGAGATTATGACCATATCTTGAGGGAAAGAATTTTTTTGGGGAAAAAAGGGGGGGGGGGGATAAAAAGAAATTGTGGGGGGTCAATTTTTTCTCATTTCAGATTTCAGAAATTAAAAAGAATTATTCTTCAAATATTATTTTTTTTTCAAATTTCAAATATTGAAAAATTTCAAGAAGTAATCTTTAATTGCACAGTATGGCGCATTAGATTTGTAAAATCTTTGATCACATTTATTTATTTGTTATGCCGAATCTAAGTGTATTTAGATTTTTAATTTTGGGTCCAGTTTTCAAATTGGTCTACATTAAGGTCCAAAGGGTCCAAAATTAAACTTTGTTTGATTTTAGCAAAAATTGAATATATGAGGTTCTTTGATATGCTGAATCTAAACATGTATTTAGATTTTTGATTTTTGGCCCTGTTTTCAAGTTGGTCCAAATTGGGGTCCAAAATTAAACTTTGTTTGATTTCAACAAAAATTGAATATATGGGGTTCTTTGATATGCTGAATCTAACCATGTATTTAGATTTTTTATTTGTGGACCCCGTTATCAAATTGGTTCATATTGAGGTCAAAAGGGTCCAAAATTAAACTTTGTTTGATTTCATCTAAAATTGAATTATTGGGGTTCTTTGATATTCCAAATCTAACCGTGTATTTAGATTTTTAATTTTGGGTCCTGTTTTTTAAATTGGTCTACATTAAGCTCCAAAGGGTCCAAAATTAAACTTAGTTTGATTTTAACAAAAATTGAATTCTTGGGGTTCTTTGATATGCTGAATCTAAACATGTGTTTAGATTTTTGATTATGGGCCCAGTTTTCAAGTTGGTCCAAGATAGGGTCCAGTATTTAAACTTTGTTTGATTTCAACAAAAATTGAATATATGGGGTTCTTTGATATGCTGAATCTAAACATGTATTTAGATTTTTGATTATGGGCCCAGTTTTTAAGTTGGTCCAAATTGGGGTCCAAAATTAAACTTTGTTTGATTTCAACAAAAATTGAATATATGAGGTTCTTTGATATGCTGAATCTAACCATGTATTTAGATTTTTTATTTGTGGGCCCCGCTATCAAATTGGTTCATATTGAGGTCAAAAGGGTCTAAAATTAAACTTTGTTTGATTTCATCAAAAATTGAATTATTGGGGTTCTTTGATATGCATAATCTAACCGTGTTTTTAGATTTTTAATTTGGGTCCCATTTTTTAAAATTGGTCTTCATTGAGGTCCAAAGGGTCCAAAATTAAACTTAGGTTGATTTTAACAAAAATTGACTTCTTGGGGTTCTTTGATATGCTAAATCTAAACATGTGTTTAGATTTTTGATTATGGGCCCAGTTTTCAAGTTGGTCCAAGATAGGGTCCAGTATTTAAACTTTGTTTGATTTCAACAAAAATTGAATATATGGGGTTCTTTGATATGCTGAATCTAAACATGTATTTAGATTTTTCATTATGGGCCCAGTTTTCAAGTTGGTCCAAATTGGGGTCCAAAATTAAACTTTGTTTGATTTCAACAAAAATTGAATATATGAGGTTCTTTGATATGCTGAATCTAACCATGTATTTAGATTTTTGATTTGTGGGCCCCGCTATCAAATTGGTTCATATTGAGGTCAAAAGGGTCTAAAATTAAACTTTGTTTGATTTCATCAAAAATTGAATTATTGGGGTTCTTTGATATGCCAAATCTAACCGTGTTTTTAGATTTTTAATTTGGGTCCCATTTTTTAAAATTGGTCTTCATTGAGGTCCAAAGGGTCCAAAATTAAACTTAGTTTGATTTCATCAAAAATTGAATTATTGGGGTTCTTTGATATGCTAAATCTAAACATGTGTTTAGATTTTTGATTATGGGCCCAGTTTTCAAGTTGGTCCAAGTTGGGGTCCAAAATTAAACTTTTTTTGATTTCAACAAAAATTGAATATATGGGGTTCTTTGATATGCTGAATCTAACCATGTATTTAGATTTTTTATTTGTGGACCCCGTTATCAAATTGGTTCATATTGAGGTCAAAAGGGTCCAAAATTAAACTTTGTTTGATTTCATCTAAAATTGAATTATTGGGGTTCTTTGATATTCCAAATCTAACCGTGTATTTAGATTTTTAATTTTGGGTCCTGTTTTTTAAATTGGTCTACATTAAGCTCCAAAGGGTCCAAAATTAAACTTAGTTTGATTTAAACAAAAATTGAATTCTTGGGGTTCTTTGATATGCTGAATCTAAACATGTGTTTAGATTTTTGATTATGGGCCCAGTTTTCAAGTTGGTCCAAGTTGGGGTCCAAAATTAAACTTTTTTTGATTTCAACAAAAATTGAATATATGGGGTTCTTTGATATGCTGAATCTAACCATCAATTTAGATTTTTTATTTGTGGGCCCCGCTATCAAATTGGTTCATATTGAGGTCAAAAGGGTCCAAAATTAAACTTTGTTTGATTTCATCAAAAATTGAATTATTGGGGTTCTTTGATATTCCAAATCTAACCGTGTATTTAGATTTTTAATTTTAAGTCCCGTTTTTTAAATTGGTCTTCATTAAGGTCCAAAGGGTCCAAAATTAAACTTAGTTTGATTTTAGCAAAAATTGAATTATTGGGGTTTTTTGATATGCTGAATCTAAACATGTGTTTAGATTTTTGATTATGGGCCCAGTTTTCAAGTTTGTCCAAGTTGGGGTCCAAAATTAAACTTTGTTTGATTTCAACAAAAATTGAAAATATGGGGTTCTTTGATATGCTGAATCTAACCATGTATTTTGATTTTTGACATTGGACCATAATAGGTAAATTAAAAAAATTCAAGTTCTTAGACCACATTCTTTCTGTGTCAGAAACCTATGCTGTGTCAAATATTTAATAACAATCCAAATTCAGAGCTGTATCAAGCTTGAATGTTGTGTCCATACTTGCCCCAACTGTTCAGGGTTCGACCTCTGCGGTCGTATCAAGCTGCGCCCCAGCAAGCATTTTATTCTAGTTTCCAGACAATAACTTGTTTTCAAGTGTATGGATCTCTCTGAAATTGTACTGCAAGATACCATACCACAAAGGGAAGGCTGGGATTGAGTTTGGGGGTAGTGAATCATAAGGGGGTTCAAAAAATTGGGGGGGGGGGGGTAATTTTTTTTCCTTTAAAATTTTCCATTTTAAATTGGTTATTTCTGATTTATATATAAAAGCAAATAATAATGATATGGTTTGAATAGGTAAATTAAAATTTGTTCTTAGACCACATTCATTCTGTGTCAGAAACCTATGCCGTTTCAAATATTTAATCACAATCCAAATTCAGAGCTGTATCAAGCTTGAATGTTGTGTCCATACTTGTCCCAACTGTTCAGGGTTCGACCTCTGCGGTCATATCAAGCTGCGCCCAGCGGAGCATTTTATTAATTCTTCAGATAATTACAATCATTTTCTAATTATTATTTTACCCTCATTCATTCAGCGGTGGTATTTGTCAATAACTTTCTTCATAGACATAGGTGTTGCTATCCCGGCAGTGATGTTAGGTGGCGTCAACATTTGTAAGTTTTATGCTTAAGTCAGTTTGATAGGAACTACTTATGATAGATCAATGTTCTATAAAGTTGGATAACTATCAGTACATATCAGTTTGATAACAATTTTGAGGCCCTGTCCCCTAGGTAATGGTCCAGCAACTTTGAATTAATTAGTAATATTGCTGTGATTCAGATTGGTTTTTATACGACCGCAAAAATTAAAAAATTTTTGGTCGTATATTGGTATGACGTTGGCGTCGTCGTCGTCCGGCGTCGTCCGGCTCTGGCGTCGTCCAAAGACACATTGGTTTTCGCACTCTAACTTTAGTTTAAGTGAATGGATCTCCATGAAATTTTACCATAAGGTTTAATACCACGAAAGGAAGGTTGGGATTGATTTTGCGGGTTATGGTACCAACAGTTAAGGAATTAGGGGCCAAAAATAAGCATTTTTGTAACTTCCAGACAATAACTTGTGTGTAAGTGTATGGATCTCTCTGACATTGTACCACAAGGTTCCATATCACAAAGGGAAGGCTGTAATTGATTTTGGGGGTAATTGCCTCAAAATTTTAGGAATTAGGGGCCAAAAAAGGGGCAAAAAACAAGCATTTTTCTAGTTTCATGACAATAACTTGTGTGTAAGTGTTTGGATATTTCTGAAATTGTACTACAAGGTTCCATATCACAAAGGGAAAGCTGGAATTGAGTTTGGGGGTAATTGCCCTAAACGTTTAGGAATTGGGGGCCAAAAAGGGGCCAAAAATAAGCATTTTTTCCAGTTTCCAGACAATAACTTGTGTTCAAGTGTATGGATCTCTCTGAAATTGTACTGCAAGGTACCATACCACAAAGGGAAGGCTGGGATTGAGTCAAGGGGTGATGAATCATAAGGGGGTTCAAAAAATTTGGGGGGGGGGGGGGATTTTTTTTTCTTCTTTTTTTCCTTTTTTTTTTCTTTTAAAATTTTCCATTTTAAGTTGGTTATTTCTGATTTATATTTAAAAGCAAATAATAATGATATGGTAGGAGATACACACCAAACAGGATGTGTAAATTATTATATAAGTATTGTGCAATAGCAAGAAATTTTCAATTGCACAGTATTGCACAATAGCAAGAAATCTTCAATTGCACAGTATTGCGCAATAGCAAGAAATCTTCAATTGCACAGTATTGCGCAACAGCAAGAAATATCCAATAGCACAATATTGTGCAATAGCAAGAAATTGTCAATTGTACAGTATTGCGCAATAGCAAGAAATATTCAATTGCACAGTATTGTGCAAAAGAAGATACTTCGTATAAATTGCTTATTTCTTGATCAATTTCAATGGGGTTTTATTCTTGAATTCTTGGGGTTCTTTAATATGCTGAATCTAACCGTGTATTAAGTTTTTGGATTTTGGGCCCCGTTTTTAAATTGGTCCACATTGAGGTCCAAAGGGTCCAAAATTTAACTTTGTTTGATTTCATCAAAAATTGAATTATTGGGGTTTTTTGATATGCCGAATCTAACCGTGTATTTAGATTCTTAATTTTTGGTTCCGTTTTCAAATTGGTCTACATTAAGGTCCAAAGGGTCCAAAATTAAACTTAGTTTGATTTTAACAAAAATTGAAATTTTAGGGTTCTTTGATATGCTGAATCTAAACATGTATTTAGATTTTTGATTATGGGCCCAGTTTTCAAGTTGGTCCAAATCGGGGTCCAAAATTAAACTTTGTTTGATTTCAACAAAAATTGAATATATGGGGTTCTTTGATATGCTGAATCTAACCATGTATTTAGATTTTTGATTTTTGGGCCCCGTTATCAACTTTGTCCACATTGAGGTCAAAAGGGTCTAAAATAAAACTTTGTTTGATTTCATCAAAAATTGAATTCTTGGGGTTCTTTGATATGCTGAATCTAACCATGTATTTAGATTTTGGATATTGAACCATAATAGGTGAATGTCCAATTTAAAATTTTTAAGTTCTTAGACCACATTCATTCTGTGTCAAAAACCTATGCTGTGTCAAATATTTAATCACAATCCAAATTCAGAGCTGTATCAAGCTTGAATGTTGTGTCCATACTTGCCCCAACTGTTCAGGGTTCGACCTCTGCGGTCGTATCAAGCTGCGCCCTGCGGAGCAATTTTTTTTTTTTAATTTTCTGCCAACAGGCAATACATATATCTGTGTCAACAGTTTACAACTTAATTCCTGCAATACAGACCTCATTAAAAAAAAGTAGAACATGACAATTGGAGTGTAAACTAAAGTCCAGACAATATGACATTACTGATAAACACTTAATCAAGAAAACATAAACTAACCACTAGATCATGAAAATATATCAAAGACATGAACATCCTCCATACAACTTTTTTTTTACCTCGATGAAAGTGGAATAAGATATAAAGGTATTTGCAAATTGTTAAAGTCTTTCAGTGAGAGGCTGGCAAAATTGGCAGGTTCATCTAAATTCATTGTAAGCTCATCTACCAATGACAAAATACACACAGGTCATGGGTTTAATTATAGAAGTGAATAGCTCCTTTAATTTTTTCCTTGTAAAGTGGGGTGTTATGGAAAACACAGTTGTACATGTACAATGAAAAATAAATCTACTCTCAGGGTATATATGCTAGTAAAATTATCTCAATTTTTAAATCCACTTTCTTAAAAAATGTATGCAAATCAAACAGATGACAGAGAGTGATACAATAACTAGAGGCTCTAGTGAGCTGGTGTCGCTCACCTGGATCTATGTGCATCTTCAACAATGGCAACTCTCCAAAATGATAGACTAGCATATTAGTCGTGACCAATACATCTTTTTTGTTGATCTAGTATTGCTGATCTTTTTTTCGTTTACAGTTGCTACCTATCTTTTATAATATTTGAGATAATTGGCAAGTGCACAAAAATTTGTCAGAAATTGTGGATTAATAAAAGGGCAGTACCTCCTTCATGAGTCATCCAACTGTTGTAGTCATATTGGCATTTTTGTAGATGTTGTATGGCTGATCATTTTTGCTGTTTATAGTTTCTACCTGTCTATTATAGTTTTCTAGATAATAGGCAAAACATGAAAATAAGCCAAAAACTCCATTAACAGCCAACCTCTCCTTTAAGAAGTCATGGGATAATTTTGGTGAAAATAGGATTGTAGGCAGATCTTAAAATTCTCATTATTTTTGTTCCGTTAGATTTTCCATTTCTATTATGGTTTTTGTCGAGCCTGCGACTTTTGTCGCAGAAAGCTCGACATAGGGATAGTGATCCGGCGGCGGCGTTAGCTAACTTCTTAAAAGCTTTATATTTTAGAAGGTGGAAGGTCTGGATGCTTCATACTTTGTATATGGATGCCTCATGTTACGAAGTTTCCGTCAGTCACATGTCCAATGTCCTTGACCTCATTTTCATGGTTCAGTGACTACTTGAAAAAAAAGTTGAGATTTTTTGTAATGTTAAATTCTCTCTTATCATAAGTAATAGGATAACTATATTTGGTATGTGCGTACCTTGCAAGGTCCTCGTGCCCGTCAGACAGTTTTCACTTGACATCGACCTCATTTCATGGATCAGTGAACAAGGTTAAGTTTTGGTGGTCAAGTCCATATCTCAGATACTATAACAATAGGTCTAGTATATTCGGTGTATGGAAGGACTGTAAGGTGTACATGTCCAAATGGCAGGTGTCATCTGACCTTGACCTCATTTTCATGGTTCAGTGGTTATAGTTAAGTTTTTGTGTTTTGGTCTGTTTTTCTTATACTGTATGCAATAGGCCTTCTATATTTGGTGTATGGAATGATTGTAAGGTGTACATGTCTAGCGGGCAGGTGTCATCTGACCTTGACATCATTTTCATGGTTCAGTGGTCAAAGTTAAGCTTTTGAGTTTTGGTCTTTTTTTCTAATACTATATGCAATAGTTCAACTATATTTGGTGTATGGAAATATTTTATGATCTATTTGTCAGTCACACAGGTTTTATTTGACCTTGACCTCATTTTCAAGGTTCATTGCTCAGTGTTAAGTTTTTGTGTATTGGTCTGTTTTTCTTAAACTATAAGCAATAGGTCAACTGTATTTGTTGTATGGAAGAATTGTTAGCTGTACATGCCTGCCTAGCATGGTTCATCTGACCTTGACCTCATTTTCATGGTTCATTGGTCAATGTTTAGTTTACTTGGTTAATGTTAAATTTATGTGACAGTTGTAATAAAGCTTTATATTCAGGACTATCAACATAATATCAATGATTAGTAAAGAAGGCGAGACATTTCAGCGTGTGCACTCTTGTTATGATATAAGACAATTAATGTATTTTAACCATGGTGGCAATTTTGGTTGGCTGACCAAAATTATTGCGAACCAAATGAAAGTTTACCACATTGTGATCTATTGGTCAATCTATTTAAATTTTTGTCAGTTCTATTGTCCCATTGAATAAATACAATAGCTATTGTTCTCTGTGTTGTTTATTCACTAGGACCTTTAAATTTCTTCTAAATCCATCGTTCTTTGATTAATTTACCTGAGTATAAAAATTATCTTATAAAAGATGAAAATACATGTTTTAACTCACAAAACTGCATGTGATGTTGTATTTATTCAATATCAATAATTTATTTTCAATCTGTTCAATATAAACAGTAATTCAAACATTAAAAGTTGATTTCTGACAAAATTTCCTATTGAAATTTGTTTTTTTTTTGTGTTTGACAAATAAAAACTGGAAAATGATGATGTTTAAATAAAGGCCTTCTTAGTTGTATTCTATAAGTAGACAAAAACAAAAAAAAGCAAATTTCAATAGGAACAATGCTAACAATTTTGTCAGAAATTAGCTTTTTATAATTAAATCAGTGTTTATATTGACAGATTTAGAATATATTATTGATATTGAATGAATACAACTTCACATGCAGTTTTTGGAGTTGAAACATGTATTTCCACTTATTTAGAAGATATTTTTTTTTACTCAGGTAAATTAATCAAAGAGTGATGGATTTCTATTAAAAGAAATTTAAAGGTCCCAGTGTATAAACTACACAGAGAACAATAGCTATTGTATTTATTCAATTGGGACAATAGAACTGACAAAAGTTTAAATAGATTGAACAATAGGAGATGAATCTGTGGAAAACAAGATACCCTAAGGATCATTCACCAAAAATGTGGTTAAAATTTGTTCATCAGTTTCTGAGATCTTTTAAAATGCATACTACATACACAAAAGTAAAAAAAAAAAAAGGTCATAAAAGGGCTATAACTCTTTAAGGAGTCATCCAATTGTTTTGGTTGTTTTGTTTGTATTGGCATTTTTGTAGATTTTTTTTATTGTATCTGTGAAAAATTATCAAAATATATAAAATACTCCATTTTAAAATAAATTGCTTCGCTGAGCGCAGCTGGATACGACCGCAGATGTCCAACCCTGAAAAGTTGGGGCCAAAATGGACACAATATTCACGCTTGATACCGGTCTGAATTTGGATTGTAACTAAATTTTTGACACATCATAGATTTCTGACACAGAATAACTGAAGTCAAAGAACTTCAAATTGGTTATATGATTTGAATTTATATTCAATCTTTTGCTTTTGTGCAATACACTATGCTGTTGCAAATTGCACCCCCCCCCCCTTCCCAAAAAATAAATTTTACCCTGGTTTTTTGCTTTTGTGCAATATACTATGCTGTTGAATAATAATCCCCAAAAATAAATATTTGAAGAAATTTTCTTTTAATTTCTGAATTCTGAAATGAGAAAAATTGTCCCCCCCTCCATTTTTTTTCACCTCCCCCCTTTCCCTTATTCCCAAAAAAAAATCTTTCCCTCCAGATATGGTCAGTGTGTCAATTCAAATTTCTAATGGAGTTTGCAACCATAATTACCCATTTAAATACATCATCAAAGTTTTAAAATATAAAATGACATACATAGTCATGGCTTAAATTAATATTAATTAATAGTAACAGGTAAAAATAAATTGACAGCTAATCACCTCAAGACAATCATCATTTCTTAATACATAATTTACAAGCAGTGTAAGGGAGGTAATCAAACAGTGTTCTTTTAATTGATTTGGATTACCTCCCTTACACTGCTTTTAAATTGTCTCAAATGTCCTTTCACCAGAAAAACCCTTGTTTTTCCCCTTTTTTGCCCCTAATTACTAATTGGTTTGAGCCATAACCCCCAAAAGTCAATCCTAACCATCCCTTTGTAGTATGGATACTTGTGGTATAATTTCAGAGAGATTCATACACTTAAACACAAGTTATTGTCTGGAAACTACAAATATGCTTATTTGGGCCCCTTTTTGGCCCCTAATTCCTAAACAGTTGGGACCATAACCCCCAAAATCAATCCCAACCTTCCTTTAGTGGTTATAAACCTTGTGTTAAAATTTTATTGATTTCTATTTACTTATACTCAAGTTATTATCCGGAAACCATCTGTCTTCGGAAGACGCTGACGACGATGATGACAACATGATACCAATATACGACCAAAAATTTTTTAATTTTTGCGGTTGTATAAAAAATGGTGTAATTCACTCTTAAGGGTAACACTTCAGTGACAGAAAACTAAAATTATATCGTTGCACATCTTTTGCTGTTTGGAAGATAAAAAATTCTAACTAATTACATATTGTTTAAAATTCAAACATTGCTTCTTGTTTTTTACATTTTTATTTTCCCCCTAATAAGTCAATATTCTGTAACAAATCAAGTTCCTTCATTAGTATCCATTTTTTCAGCACCAGAAGATTCATTACTGTCTGCATTTTTCACAGTTTCTGTTTTGTTTGCATTTTCCTCTGTTTCTACTGCACTGTCTTGACTGGTGTCATCTGTTTCTCTGTTTGTTGCCTTCTCTTTCTTTGCTAACACTTTCACTACAAAAAAACATACAGCAAAATTATATATTGTTACTAGATTAAGAGAAACAATCTCCATAAATCTTCTTTTGCTTACTCGACATGTCTTACAAATAAGTAAGCATCCATCGCAATGGAAAACCCATCACCATAAAAGTGAGACAAATCATGAATTAATGTAAAAATTTCAGTGGTAAGTTTTTCTTTAAAATGAATGTAACCATGCTGTTTGCTCTTTTAGAAAATCTTGTTTAATTAATTGAT